AGCAAGTCAGAATGTTAGGCCTTTCTTATACAGTTTAGGATATTATCTGCCTATAACCAGAGACATTCAGTTCCCTTGCTGTCTACCCTCAAATTTAAAGTCTGCAAAACTTCAGCCAGCTTAACTGCATTTTGAATTACACAGCTGTGTAATTCAACTACACAACATGTTAGCAAACGGCACCTCTAAAATAGTTGAGTACATTTTAAAAACGTGTGCACCTTCCCTCAAGCTTTTCCTATTCCTCTCAAAAGTCCAACCTGCCAGAGCCACAGGAGAAATAAGGTTTAATGGATTAAGTAGAACCATCTTGCTTTTTACTAGCTGGGTAGCCAAACTGGCAGGAGTGATGTTGAACTGCTCCCAGACAACTGCACGGGTTTCCTAAAGGTGTTGTGGGTGTTCCACCCCTGGAAGTGTTCAAGACTTGGCTGGACAAAGCTCTGAGCGATCTGGTCTAGTGAAAGGTGTCCTTGTCCAAATCAGGGGGGTTGGAACTTGATGATCTTAAATCCTTTCCAACCCAAACCATTTTACTATTCTATGCTATGCATTTTACTATCTGCTGCCAGAGGACAATCATGGTGTTTGGTGTGGCAGTACAGCTTCTCTATCCTGAATGCAAGGTTGCAGCAGTCCCTTAGAGTAAATGCAGGGTAGATGAGGTTTAGCAAAGATGATTTACCAGTGGTGCTGTGTAGAGCCTTACATTTGCAGACAGTGATCTGATGAAACTCTTAAAAAACAGGAAGATATGTGGTGTGGTGTAAAAGACTTTTTAAAACACACAGGCAAGATAAAGATCACCTCAATCCCCTTCCTGGCAACAAAGTTAAACTCTAGGTGTTGATGGTCACCCCAGTGTTTGCTAATTGGGAAGAATTGTGGAGAACATCTCATGTGTGAAACATGTTTTGTCACTGAATTGCTGATCTTTGCTAATACACAGGGTTTCCTGCTTGATAACTGGAATTAGATGGATAAAAAAACAACAATTATAATATTTACACACATTTATCCACATGTTAAGGCTTCATAAGACTCCTGTATTATAACCTAAAGCCACTGATGCTTCATAACAGGTTGGATGCTTCTCCTGTGTGCTGCATCCACCAGCTGATGTTGTCCCTATTCAAACAAATCCTTCCCAAAACACAAAAAACCCCATTGTCTGATGCTATTCATTCTGGTAACCATTCCCAGTCAACCAGACAGGTGTCAATCAAACTAATGCCTCTCAACATAAAGCCAATCTGTCCAGGGTTGCAGGGTTTGAGCCAATTTAATTTAATTTATTAGAGTTGAAAGGAACCTTTGCCTCTGTGACAATGGGTAAGACAGTTTGTAATCATTCTCATTTAATTGATGAATGTAAATTTGGCACTTGACAATTAACCAGGCACATTAAGACACTAGGGATGAAATCCCAAGAGGATTTCACAAGCATCTACATGCTCTAAGGTTTACTTTCCTATAGCAAATTCATCTGCAGCCTTTCTGTGTTGGCAGAGCTGGAGCCATTCAGCTGTGTCTCACAGAAACCGTCAGCCTCCACTTGGAGAAAAAACCCTGCTGTGAAGGAGAAGGACCCAAGTCTCATCTCCGCTTCCAGTGTGTGACTGTGCTGAAAATGTACAGCCTGATGGCAATTCTGTAACCCCACACAGGCTTTTTGCAATTGATGTACCTATGCACAAGTGAGGAACTTACAAGTATGCATCAGCCACAAAAAGCCCACAATAAATTAATTATCTTACACAGAGGATGGTTTGAAGGAGCAATATTCCTCACTGGAAACACTTTTCTGTCCCACATATTTTCTAGTGCTGAAAGTTAGCTTGTTTTTATAGTTTGTCCTTTATGGTTGCCTGATTTACCAACCCACTTTGATTAGCTTTTCAGTGTTAATTAATACACATTTGCAACCCTTCTAATCACATATTGCTCAAGGGTGGGTATTCTAAAGTCACAGATTTTAAGCCCAGGGTGCATCATTGCAGGCTTCAGCATAACTCTCTAGAATTTTACTCTTTGGGAGCAGAGTGCTGAACAATTCTCTGCTGACTGAATGTGAGATTTTTTTAAGGAAGGAAATCTAATCCTGATTTAAAGATTTAATGTGAGAGAGAAGCTAACCACATCCTGTCATAAGGTGTTTCACTGGTCAAGATCTACATTTTATTTTTAGCTTGAACTTACCCAGCTCCAGCTTCCACTCATAAAGCCATTGTTAGAACTTTGTTTTCTGAACAGTGTTATTTATAGCCTGTGACAGATCACTTCAGCTATCTCCTCATTTACAAGCTAATTAGATTTTTTTATAGATGTTTCTAACTCCCTCACCCAAAGAAAAGCCCTGGAGGACAGCTGTGGTCCTCTCACTCATGCCTCTACCTCTCAGCAGTGTCATCTGATCTGCACAGAAGCTGCTGCTCACCAGGGCAGTCCCCTCCTTATGGGGACAAACCTTCAGGGCCACCAGACTGTCACAGCCCCGAGCACAGCCTGCTCTGCTGATCCCCCCCAGCAGCACCAGAAGGGCTCTCTTGCCTTTTCCCACCACCCTCCTGAGGTGCAGCCTTTGGATGTTATTTGAGCAGTGGGTTGGTTACTGCTGTGTTTCCCCTGTCATCCCCTGCTCCTTGCAGCCTGCTGTTAGTCCTCTGAAGCCACACATCCCACCAGCAGCTTGTGTTTACCCACCACCTAAGAGGCCACCCAAATCCTTTGTATAATCCCTCATCTCCCCATCAGTCCCCACCTGAGGCAACCTATAGTTACATGGATATTTCTGTTTTTAAGTTATTGACACATAATTTGCCTTTTTTCATCATGTTAGTCCAAGGGTTTATAGTTCAATGGGAACTGTTCTGGATGGGACTCCATCCAGGAGTATATGTGAGTTTAGTGTGCTTACCCCTCTCTGTTCTCTGGTGTCAGTTCAACCTAAAAAGGCTTTAACATTGTATTTAAAGTGTTTACATGTTCCATTATGTAATGTTTGCATTCATTCTGACATACTTCAGATCTGCTCTCCCTCCTTCCCTTCTTTTCCCTTCCCATTTCCCTGCCTGCAGCCTACGCTTTCTGTCTGCCAGCTATAAAGAGATTTCAGAATTTTAAAAATAGCTATTTAAAAGCAACAAACCAAGGCTGAAATGAAATACAGCAGGCAAGAACTGCTCGAGGGGAACTCACTAAGTCAGAATACACTAGGGCTTTCCTGCAGGGTTTTAATGGTGACTTTGTGTAGCTGCTTAGACCTAAATCTACACATTTAGCTGAACCATCACCACAAGAGGTTTGTCCTTTATCTAAATAAACCTAATTGCAGGTTTACTTTGGGAAGAGAAATTCCAGATATAAATGAATTTAAATGTTTTATTCTTCTTATTTATTACATATTCTTCTCACCATGAAATTTTATTTTCCCCTCATGAGAGTTTATGGGCTAAATCTGGATTTAGATGCCTCTGTTTGAACAAACAAGCTCAAGAGATTTGGCCCCGTGGTATTTAATGAAAAAGAAAATGTCATGAGGCCCTCCCCTTTGGAAATAACCAGTTGAGTAAAGATTAATCAAGATATATTCATGTCCACACTGTCCCCTGCAGAGGGGTTAGGAGGTATATTCATCATATACATCAGGATTAACTCAGTTTCTGCTGTGGCATTGCAATTCTCTTGAAACTGTATAGCTACTGACCTACTTTTCAGGTGGTTAGGTGGAAGTCACTACAAATCCTTCTGCATTTCAGCACCAGCAGACTATAATGTTTTACAGGGATAGAGCATCTTCTGAAATGGCAAAAACTGAGTCACAATATAGAAATTGAATTCTCAATGCTGGGAAAAACAAGGATAGTTTTCATAACAAGCACACACAAGGAATGAGCTGACATGGAAATGCCCTACAGGAATTTTTCTCAAAGGGCAGTCTCTGCAACCCCAGATATGCTGTAATCTTTGATGACCTTCTGCTGCTCCTCTTCTTTTTGCAACAAAGTTACTGGATGATCTTTCTTTCTTTCTTTCTTTCTTTCTTTCTTTCTTTCTTTCTTTCTACAAAATAGCAGCTCTACTCAACCCAGGCTTATGTGTATATAGTATTACACCAGCTAAGTGTTGGACACCACAGTCTGTCTCAGTTGAATATACTAATTCTTGAGGTTAAAACACCAGCTTTCTCCCTGGCCCTTGCTCCCAGCTGAGGCAGCTTCCCAGGAAGGCAGTGTTGGAATATTGACCAGCCCAAGAGGGAGGTGGTAAAAGCCCAGGACAGACCCCTTTTGGCACCTTCCAGCCCTGTTTGCCCCTCAGGCTGTGCCCATGGTCGATGGATGCTGTCAAACAAGGTGGTGCAGGGCAGCAGGCATGGGGACACAAGCTGCTCACTCTGAAACAAAGGCAAAGCAATACCTGACTCTGATCCAGCAGACAGAGACGTGTGAATATATACAAAGCAAATCCTTAATCACTCTCTTTAACACAAGAAAGACTTCTCATAAATTAAAACCAAGCAGATTATCATCTTAAGCTCTTTAAGGATTTGCTTCTGATTTCATAAAATCTGCCTCAAGAGAAAAGTGGAGCAACATTTTCTGTACCTGCATTGGGAAGTCCTGAAGGATGTTATTTTACAGCAGAATCTTGGGCAGACACTGTAACTGCTCCATCACTACCTCTTTAATGGCAAAATGATCTCCTGCATTGCTTTAGTCCTTTGAGGACTTGGTGATTAGAGAGCTGTTTCTGCTCCCCTGCACTGGCTGTACAAGGGCTGCCCCAGAAAAGAGGACATGAACAAAACACCCAGGCAGCTCAAAGCCCACATTGATTTGTCTTGGCCAGAAATTACATTAACATCTCTGTGGTTTGGTTATACAGGGCAGCCAGTGGGGAAGGGAGGAAAAGGATCTAGCGAAGAAGAAAAGACACAAGTTAGCAATTCAGCTGTTACACTGCAGTTTGACAGACACATAAACAATTTGTTTCTTCATAAATGTTTATTCATCATCTCTTAAGATCTGGTCACCAGTTTGAGGAATTGAGGACAATAAAATAATCGCATTTTAAAAAATTATTATTTTGCCTCATTGATATAAATGCTGTGCTAAGTCAAAAAGTGGTGGCACCAGCACAGCACTGAATAAGGGACAGAGTTGTTTCAGCACTGCTGAGGCTTGCTGCACCTAGAGGGAAAGCCTCTGCTTTGCTGGGTCCCCATTGCTGTGGATACAACCACTGGCTATGTGGAAGAAGGAAAATTTTGTCTCTCTCTGCCCCTCTTCCATTGTTTCCAGGCCATGTCCACACTATTGCTGCATGGAAATTCATCTGCTGGTGTAGGAGAGATGTTAAGCAGGAAAGACAGAAGGGAACAACCACTGTATATGGCAGCTGGATTTCAGGGTTATAGGAGTTTCTCTGGGTTTTTCTTGTTACTCTACCTTGCAGTTAGAGATGGGGAAACCAGATTTTACTGTAGTTGAAACACCCAGACAACAGCCCACAAAAAGTGACACAAAAAGTGTCCCAGAGGGTACCCCCTGGAGCAGTAAGGTGGCAAAGGCAGGGGCAGGCTATGCAGCCTGAAAGAAAACAATGTCTGAAGATGTCAAAAAAAGGGGTTGCACACCAGGATTGTTCCAGCCAACACAGGACAACCGATCCCCCTCTAACAGGTCCCTTGGAAGTGAGATAATATTAACCAAGAAAATAACTTGGATTACTGTTTTTTATTTACCTTGTTACAAAAATAAGAATTACAGAAATAAGAAAAAAAAACCCCCCAAAAAAATTTTACAAAAATAAGGAAAAAAAACCTCACTAAAAAGAGGGTAGCAGACATTTTTGAGAGTGAATGTTGCATACTGGTATAGGGTAGTATCTGACAGTAGAGACACTTCAGAAAACTGAGGATTAAACATCTTTCCTAACATAAACACTGTACTAAATCAAAAGCTTTACTCCTCCTCCTGTTTAGGTTTAGCTATATTACTGACCAGCTAGCCTTCAAGACAGAAAGACCCTTTTATCAAAAAGGAAATAATTCCAGAGTTTGCCTGAGGCATATGTCCTTCCACAAGATTTAGAAAGGTGGAAAAAGAAAGTAGAAAAAGAAATCATCTAACTTATTTTAAAATAAGATATATATTGCATTTTTGTATTTCAAATAATGACTTGTTTCAATTTTATTCTGTCTATGTAATGGATTTTGTTTGCTTGTCATTTTAAATACATCCTTGTCTTAGACCACCTGAGGTATGCATTTAGTCCAAAATTAATTTCTCTAGTTTTAATTAATTATGGTTCCTGTATTAAAAATTAACTTCAAGGTTATTTTTTAAAATCTCTTTTTCTTATTTATAGGACACCAACAGAAACAGGAGATATGCATACCTGTAAAAATCACTCTTGCTGTTCAAAAAATTTCTTAATATTTTTCAGGTCTTCCAGGCTCTACTTCTGATTGCTTGACAATTCAATGCCATTTGAGAAGTCCGAAAAAAAAAAAAAACCACCCAAAAAAAAAACCAACCAAAAAAACCAACCACAAACTATTGCAGACTTCAAAGGTAGAAAGGCAGCACGGAGCTGGACTCCATGGTATCACAGTTGTGGAGCAAGCCTGGCTCAGCCCAGTTCCCTGGGGCTGCAGCTGCTCTCCATGAGCTGCTGGCCCTGTGGCCACTGCCCCTCCTGCCGCCCTTTGGATGGCGCTGCACAAGCCATGGGACAAACCCCAACCCTGGTGTTCAGCTGCCTGGAACTCAGAACCTCCAATTTGACCTCCAGCTTCCTGGAAAGAGAGGTGGGAGAGGCCAACTGCTTCAGGCTGCAATCCTTCAAGCCTCTTCCTAAAGGCAGTCAGCTGTGGAAAGAAGTCATGGTGGTGAAACATTCGTCATTCAAAGGGAGCATTTGCCTGGACTCCTTTCATTAACCCCTCTTCCCCCCAGGACCTGAGCCCTCACTTGCCCAGACCTTGAACCACTTAGACAGACCCTGCCCTTTCCTATTTGAGGAGGGAAGGGGTTGCATTTCTCCTAATTTCTGGTCTCAGAGCAGGGCAGTATTCACCTTGAGAAATGTAAATCTCTTCATGCACCACCACAGCTCTTGCTCTGGACTGAGACCTTAGCACTCCTTCCTGCTCTTCACATTTTTCTGGTGTTTTTGTGAGTAATAATTAATCATTCTTAGCCTAAAAACAAGGAAAGTGTTCTAGCCTTTGCGAGAATCAACCTTTTACCTCAGTATGTGAGAGAGTGGCACTGGCACATTGATTTGTCATTCAACAATGTCTCAAGATTGGTTTTGGGGTTTTTTTTTTTTTGACAAAAGGCTACATTAGAGCATTAATGATCGCAATATGTTCAGGTTTGTTACACTTAGCAGGTGGGCTATTAATTGAAATGAGTATTAGTGAATTTGAAAAATCTTTTTTTCTACTCAGTTTTGATTTGCTTCCAAATACCTGCCCTGTGGTCAGACCACATATTTGTAATAGGCTCCTCTGTGGTAATGAATTTCTTGACAGGGTTTTTTGTATGTTTTTAAAGATCACCTCAGCCTCTATACAGCAGCATCTCTCTTCATATTTAGCAAGAGGAAATCAGTCCTTCATTTCCCAAGGCCAGCAGAATGTCCTGAACTTTGCTGCAGCAAACTAAAATTTATAGGTACATATACAAAGAGTGGGAACTCACACAAACGAAATATTTTGATTCAAGCATGATGCTTGTGACTGTCATTAGAAACCAGTTTGCCATCCTAGTAATTAAATTCAGATGGGTTTTGGGTCAAACTCACTTTACTGTATTGTTTCTTTTGGAAAATGAGCTCTATGAGCCTATATATTTCTGCCTAGCAGTTTAAAAATATTGATGGAGGATTATATTACAGCAGCCTAAAGATTTTATTTAAGGTAGTTATGAAAAAAATGAAATAGTTTGTAACTGTGAATATAGATTGCAATTATTTTTAACACCAGCAACCAATTTTCTGACTGAATAATTTTTATGTATATTTCTAAAACTTGTGGAGAAAAAAAAGCATGATTTTGATGTAATTTTCTGAACCAAAATATTTTCTCAACCTGGTAGAGTCATTAGTTTTAATTTCTTGTTTTTGTTCTCTTTCCCAGCCATCATCTACAATCAGTACTACAGATGAATCACTAGTACCACTTCTCCAGTTTCCTAGGGGAAGTCTGATAGATCAAAGTCCATTCAAGGATGCAAATGTTTCCCTTTGTCTCATCCAGGCCATTCCTGAAGCTAAGAAGAGGTAAAATATTAAGAACAGCCACATTTTTCAGCAACAAATCAAGATACAAAGAACAACTAAATACTCCTGAATAGCAATTCTGCAGCAGTGTCAGCTTAAATGCTGCCATGGACACCTGCTCACTCCCTCTAAAAATACATTTCTGGATTGTGTCACCAGAATTAATGAGCCTAAAACATCTAATGTCTCATGACAATAGGATTCCTGGGTGGAAAGCCGTGTGTGGAAAAGTGCTGGGCAGATGTACAGCAGCCCTTGCTCTGCTGCCCTGCAGCTGTGCTGCTGAGCAGTAACCACAGCCAAGCCAAGGCACTCCAAGGCTGGCAAGGTGAGGGAAGCCACAGCTGGCTCCCAGGCTGGGAGGAGCATCATTTGCTGAGGCTGAGCGTGGGTCCAGGCGCTGCTCAGCAGACTCAGCAACTTCTCTCCTTCCTCCTTGCTGGAAAGCATGGAAGTGAGCTACCCCCAAGGGTGGCACCACCAGGAATGGCTTTGTCCATTTGTCATCGTCATATTTTCTGAAAAATCCCTTCACCAGGATTTCTTCTCCTGGGAAGTTGGGAAGCCTCAGAGAAAAATGAAAACAATAATTATCTGATCTGCTTCTCCTGTGTTTTGCTGCTTTGGAATGTGGTTTGGACATACCAATGTCCAGTTTTACCAACTGGCCATTGTTTCATTGGTTTCATGTGAATTGCTTTGACTTAATGACCAATCACGGTCCAGCTGTGTTGGGACTCTGGAAGGAGTCATGAGTTTTTCACTGTTATCTTGTAGCCTTCTGTAAGTAGCCTTTCTCTATTCTTTAGTATAGTTTAGTATAGCATTCTTTAATTTAATATAGTAACATAAAATAATAAATTAGCCTTCTAAGAACATGGAGTCAGATTCATCTTTCCTCCCTGAAAATACCACATCCATTTGATACATTTCTCTCCTTTGGAGGAAGCCTTGGCCCAGCACTTCAGGCAGAAGACAGTTTCCTTTCCCCCAAGGTCTCAGCACTAACCAGGCAGGAGCACTAACAATGTCTGGACCACTCAGTCAAATCAACCACACCAGGAGCCACTGCTTTGACAGAACTATTTTACACACCTCAACCATAATGTGATTTGTCATTGCTTTCAGAGATGTGGTGTGCAGCCAGCCAGGCTTTCACTGGGTTTTTTGGCCTATAAGAAAGTTTTATTAGATTATTTACTCTCTCCCCTTGACTGTGGCAGCTTCTCCCTGATGTGCCTCTTGAATGGAAGCAATGCTTTCCCACAAGCCCCCATGCCTTCCTTCACATCCTCTTCTTGTCCCTAATGGCTTGATTTCCAGAGGTGATGCTATCCTCAGGCCCTTCCGCTCCTTGAAGAAGTAGGACTGCCCAGGCCTCTTGAAAACCAGGCCAACAATACAGAGAGGAGTAATTGCAATCCTTGTGGATGGCTCCAGGCCATGTCATAATACACTCTGTTAAGTGAGGACAAAGCCCATGCTGGAGGGATGAGCAGTTAGAAGTGATGCAGGCCTGGCATGAGGAAGGAAACATCAGTCTTGAATTTTTTTACTTTTTTTTACTTTTTTTTAAAAAAATTTGAACTTTTTTACCAGTGTGTGGTGAGAGGGAGCTTAGCAAGGATGAACATCTTGCCTGTCTTAAGGCAGGTAGGGCATGCTTCATCCCAGGAACTGGCAGAGATGAGGGATACTGAAAATGCTGATTTAAACCCATGGTACTGCTCTGCATTAGGCACTCATATGAAATTTACGCTTGTGTGGTTTGAAGTTGCATTCTCTTTATAATGAGTTTTGCTTATACTATGTACAAATGATAATTATAATATATCTTCAAAAGGTACTTGTTTCCTCAAAGTGCAGAAGCCTGCAGGCTGAGAACTGATTTTTGTCCAATTTTATTTACTAAAACTCCTTTAATGAGTATTTATACATGAAGAGATGTGGAACTAGGATCATGTTTATCTAAAATAGGAGTGAATTTAGCGATTGCAGCAAACTGCAGTACTTCCAGCTCCTGCAGAGTTTGTGTATTTCTGGTTTAACACATGTAAATTGACCTCTCAACTGCATCTGTGAGCACCTAAGCATATCCAGTGGCTTGGTCTTGCCATAAGGGGGAAGTCTTGTTCCTTCTTTTCCTTCTCCTCTAACTCAAATTTCTTCCCAGCCAAAGAGCCTGCCCCCTCATCTGTGGTGGCTCGGAGTTTGACTTGCCTGTGAGCTGATACAACTCAATGACACAGCAGAAAACCAGGCAGCTGTTTCATTCAGGATCACATTTTGCTTGGTTAGTGGCCAGCTCTGGTGACTGAAGGGCTTCATTCACTCACAGGTAGCAGGGCTGACAGAGGAGAGATGATGGGATTGCATGTCTGGAACAGGGCCTCCTCACTCTGGTGGAGGGCAACTGCTGGCTTAGGGATTGCCATCCTAGGAAGATGAAACCTAAGGTGCCCAGCTTGAGTACCAAAATCCATTTTAGGCATCTGAAAATGCAGTTCAGTAAAACAACCTGCTTCAGATGAGGACAGCTGAGGCCAGTCCTGTGCCTCTGGAGCAGAACACCTCCAGTAGCTTCTCCAAGCCCTGCTGCCCCCCTGCCTGCCCCTGACACTCTTCCCATGCTGGCTGGCAGAAATTTGTGTGCCTTCCCTGGGAACTGGTGCAGCTGAAAAGTAACTTGTGTGGCCAGCTCACTTGCAAAGAGCTGTGACAGTGCAATGCAGGGCAGAGGAAGGGACAGGGATGGGCTGTTCCAGGCTGAGCCAGAGCAGAGCCTGCACACATCCAGCTGCTCCTGACTGCTGCTCTCACAGAATGCTGCAAGTCAAAGGCTGTGACCCCTAGCAGCACATGCTGTGCTTCAGCTGTGCCTGCGTTTGCCTTCTGCCCTAACTACCACCAATAACAAGCCCTTGGACAAGAGGTTAAATGGGGTGCTTGGGATTTCCTCATTCTTGACTGGGAGAAAAAAGACAGTGGGAATGCCTGAGATGGAGGGTGGGTTGCTGCTGTGTGTGTACATTACTTGTATGTTATTGGCTTCTGATTACCATGACATTACAAAATGTAACATGCAATGTAGGCTTCCAAGGTTCCAGTTGTCCTTTCTCTCCTGCTCTGGTACAATATTTTGTTGCACTCCTTTGCTGCATTTTGGGTCATGCTAAACTGTAAGCTCCTTGTGGCAGAGAGGGTGTCACTGGTGTGAGGCACAATGCCTCAGATATTGGAGCTCTAGCAGCAGTGGGGGCCTCGGGGAGTGCCTGTCACAGGAATGACAGGAAGGAAGAGTTTCACTCTTGTTGAGTGCAGAATTTGTTATGTCTGAGACTGCCTCATTTTTGCCAGCCTTTTTGAAGGACTTCATCTTTGCCTGTTGCCTATGCAGCTCCTACCCCTCGATCTCTACCAGCTACCCATCACCTTTAGACCCCCCTCCTACTCCTCTGTTTTGATTCCATGCCTGATCCTTCCCGTTTGTCAAGAGATCACAAGCTCCTGTCCCTCATTCTCTGCATCTCTCCTTTCTGACCTCTCTGACCTTCCTAACCAGCCTGCCTACTGACTAGGGCTGCAAATAAAGGTTAGGTTATGAGCAAACTTCACTTCCCCAGATTTAAAAGAGAAACATCCAATATCGTCTTCTTCTAAATGCAGAGGCAGATAAATTAAACCAAAAGGTGTTTGGAGCTGGAGTGCAAAGGGGAGATGAGTGGTGGGAGAAGAGGCCAGCAAAAGCCACCCCTCTCCTTTGGAACTGTCTTTGGCTTTGTTTCCATTTTAGCAGGAGTACAGGTTAAGGTGAGAGTCCAGATTGCTTTGGCAATACCCTTTTATACCACATGTAGTGACTCTTGCTCAAAAGCAAGTATATGGACTTGATTAAGCTTATGATTGTTGAAAGGTTTTTTTTCAATTAATTAAATCCAAATAAACTTACTATCTGGAGGAACCAGGAATGTCTACAGCAGGGTTAAAGAGATGGAGAGCTCCTCTGGGTTTCAGTGTACAGCCATGCTTTGTGCATTCCTTCCTTGTACAAGACTCAATGAAAACTGTATTTTGCTGATGACATCAAACTGTGCCAAAAGATAGAGCTGAAGGGGAGTAGCTGCTAGAACATTAGTTTCCAGTCTTTTTGGACCTACAGCCTACTGTTGGCCTCCAAAATTTCCTACAAATCACAATTTCACAACTCATACTTTAAACTGAAAACACTACAGAGGCACCAAATGGTGATGACAGCCTACCACTCTCTATAGGACATCAACAAGGCTTGAGTAGAGCAGGAGAACCACTGGTCAAGAATGAAGGAATGCAGAGATGGAACAGAAGTGCTGATTCAAAACTCCACATGTGCAAATCTTCACTGACTACAAAACCAGTTGGAGGTGAAAGAGTCTCTGGGGTAGTTGGGTTCATTGGAGACTCACCATGTGGGATGTGGATACAGATGTTAGGGGTTTCACAAAGTCTTCTTTATTCTAACTAAATGATTTGGTGGGAACTTTCGGCAAGAACTGCAGGTAAAAGAAAACAGAGAAAACAAAGTCTGAGAAAAACATCATTAGGTCAGCTACAGTGCCATTATAGTGGCATGTCAAGAATGGAGAAAAGGCAACACCAGTTTGGTAAAATGGCAACCATCAGCTGGATATTACAGGAACTGGCAGGTTACATGCCAGAATAATAGGCATTTTGTGGCAGGGGCCACGTGGACAAACTGGGATGGACTGGACTCTGCTAATCATGGACTATGTCACCCAGTGCAGACAGAAGTTGTTGAATAAAGAGCTCAAAGAATGTTTAAAAATATATTAAAAAAAATTGGTTAACAAATCAACAGAGGAACCCAACAGCTGGCAATCATGAAAGGTGGGATGAGGAAAGGATCAGCTCTGAGGATTCATTGGATAGATACATGTGGAGATAATACATTGAGCTGTAATCTTGCCAAAGATTAGGTGAAAATGAAAATGCTGGAGGCACTGCTGTATTTGGATTTCAAAAAAAAAAAAAAAAAACCCCAAGCAACCAACTAAGCAACAAACCAGCACTTTCCTGGAAAGGCAAATCCTTGCTTGGAAAATACCAAGAGCAGATCTAGACTCAAACCTTGAATGCATCTGACAGCACTGCTACTGCAGAATGGCATATGGGGCTTAAACTTATTCTCAGGAAGAAAGAGCTCACTGGGTGTTAAGTCACTCCTTACATATGGGTGGAAACTCGTAGTAATTGTGCAATTTCCCCAAAAAAATCCCCAGAGATCTCAGTTCAGTATTTTGCTTCTGCAGCCTTTCCTGCCTTTGCTGTTACAGCGCTTTTCACTTGCAGTCCTTGCGCTTCCCTACATCATGTAAAAATATGATTATTTCTTTTGCTTAAAGACCTTGGTACAACATTAAAAACCCATCAGTCACTATGCCGAGGTTCCTTTTGCCAAAATACCTGTCTTCTTTAGTCACGCTCACTTAACGAGGAAAAAAAAAAAAAA